ATTCGTTGATATGTGAATGAGCGAGAGAGAGAGAGAGAGAGAGAGAGAGAGACGCAAACGCTTTTTATTAATCCGCGTTTCGTAACTGCGGAGCGACTTCGGTTCGCACCGGTTTCCCATAATATCGCTCGCATTGGAGCAAGAAACAAATTAATTTCGCCGGCGTGCGCGCGCGCGCGCACCCGCGCGGAGCACGGCTAGTTTCCCTATAAGTTTTTAATGAAAACTTCGATTTTGGGGTGCTGAGCATCATCAAAAAGTTCCTGGAAAGTCGAGACGCGGCGACTTTCTACACGTACATATTTTTTCCTGTACATTCATTTCGCCAGCCGTGTTGTCAGATTTGTATCTCGAATTTTGTGGGATTTTCCACCGCGATAACAATATCGATTATAAAATGTAGAATTGATTTTTCCTTATTGCATTGTTAACTTGTAACGACGATAACCGCCAAAATTGCTTCTTCGGAAGTCAGAAGGGAGAGCCACGTGGCTCCTCAATCACTTAAAATAACAAAATATTACATGAGTAATTGGATTGGCACTTGAGTGGGTCGTTCGTCGTTGCCTCGTTTAATTGAGACATTGACAGTACACATGCACTTAACGCTTTTTTTTTTTATATACAAAGCACATTTTGACAGCGGTACTCGATCATGTGCGCTCGCGATAGAAAGAAAAGGAAAAGAAGAAGAAAACGATTTATTTCTGCAAGTCGAGTGCATGGCGGATTTAGTTAATAACAAATTGCAACCGATCTGTCCTCTCCTTTCTCGTGTTGTCGAACCGGCAATCGTATTCGATTTGCATAAATTGCCGCTGCTACAAAGGGCGGTATGTATGTCGTAGAGGGGAATGGCAAGTTCGTCGCGACGGGTTTCCCGTATTAACGACATTTAATCGCCGATGTCGCCCGGAAAAGCAAACCAGGACAATTACCGGCGATCTTTGTAGCGACATGCGAGCAGCGAAGCGATAGTCCCAAATGAATATTCCGCGAGTATTCCCGAGTGTTCCGCGATCGATTCTGAATCTTTCTTGTTATTTCAAAGATTGTCGAGTCGTAAAAAATTATAGTTTGAAAAGAATAAACGAATGTACGAAAGGAAAATTATCTACGCTGATACGTTGAGACGTAAGAAAAGAAATTCAGAAAATAAAATCTGGGTCGAAAACTTGACATATTGCGTCGCCCCCGATTGCGTTTTCTGAAAAATATAATTTATTGACGCGACGTCGTCATTCGCCAATGTCTGAATGACTTCCATCGCTCTCTCGAACGACTGGCGTATTCTCGTGCATCGACCACTTTCTTTGACGGCGGGAAATCAATTTTCAGCTGCACGCGTTCGAGTCGCTTGACATTTAATGGGCTGAATATTCGCGGACCGATCCACGAGAGATTAACTCGTCGCCGGAAGTGCGTACATTAGCGTGCGAGCCGATTGCGGCCTTTCACACACATATACACATACACTCGGAAGATCATGATAAAACCGACGGGCGCGAATTACGCGCTGCGCGAGTAATCTCCGATTTATCCCGTCGTAATTCCATCCTTTTTTTTCCCGCGGCTTAGCACGCTTGCTTAATACTTTACCGCGTGTTCAATACGTATAGATTATTGGCGAATATATTTGGAGCGTGCGATTTTATCAACTGCAAATTATATTGGCCGTGCACAGAAACATCGTAATTTACAGTCAATTTCATTTTTCTCCGTGCGTTTCAGGAGAATTTGACGAAATGATTTCACCAATCTCGCGCAATTTATCGGCGGGAGATTAGCGGGAAGTAACGGCGCGTGAAAATTGCGTACTTTGCGGTTGTGTTTGTGAGATCGTTGTTAACATAATTGCTATCAAGACGCGATGGCGCGGTAAGTTTTAACGGATATTCTTTATCACGTCGGGATGATCGTCGGAACTGAAATGCGCAAATATTTGGATAGGCAGAAACTAAGTTCTTCTACATCTATTCCACCCCGGGGTACTCCATGTAACGCGCATAATGGTGTTTCTTCAGTATACATTGTTATCAGCTGACTACTACGAACTTTGTTAGAAAAATCTACGGTCAAGTCGACCGGGTCAATCAACTCCCGACTGCTACGCTTAGATTTGTGTAACTGCTAGGTAATTTCAAGTACCTACTACAAATATTTGCGAATATTTACGATCTTTGCTTTTAAGACGAAAAAAAAAGACATATCTCGTTAATTGTTCCTAAAATATACATAAACTGACAAAAAGATCAACGCATTAATAAAATATCAACATACATACGAATAAGGATCGTTATTAATTCGCATACATATTTCATTTAAGATTCAAAGTCAATATTTCTCTTAAATAATTTCAATAATTCTAGTTCCGTGAAATGTGAAATGTAAAACTTACATCTTATAGTAGATATCTTATCGCCAGATACCCGAAACACAGATTTTTTTAAATAAATGGTTCTCTCTCT